AGGAAGGAAGGAAGGAAGGAAGGAAGGAAGGAAGGAAGGAAGGGAAGGGAAAGAAGGGAAGAAGGAAGGAAAGGAAGGATGGATGGAAGGAAGGGAGGAAAGGAAGGAAGGAAGGGAAGAAGGAAGGAAAGGAAGGAAGGAAGGAAGGAAGGAAAGGAAAAAAGGAAAGGAAGGAAAGGAAGGGAGGTAGGAAAGAAAAGAAGGAAGGAAGGGAAGGAAAGAAGGAAGGATGGATGGAAGGAAGGAAAGGAAAAAAGGAAAGTAAGGGAGGATGAAAGGAAAGGAAGGAAGGAAGGGAAGAAGGAAGGAAAGGAAGGAAGGAAGGAAGGAAGGAAAGGAAAAAAGGAAAGGAAGGAAAGGAAGGGAGGTAGGAAAGAAAAGAAGGAAGGAAGGGAAGGAAAGAAGGAAGGATGGATGGAAGGAAGGAAAGGAAAAAAGGAAAGTAAGGGAGGATGAAAGGAAAGGAAGGAAGGAAGGGAAGAAGGAAAGGAAGGAAGGATGGAAGGAAAGGAAGGAAGGATGGAAGGAAAGGAAGGGAGGGAGGGAGGAAAGAAAAGAAAGGAAGGGAAGGAAGGAAGGGAAGGAAAGAAGGAAGGATGGATGGAACGAAGGAAAGGAAAAAAGGAAAGGAAGGGAGGATGAAAGGAAAGGAAGGGAGGGAGGAAGGGAAGAAGGAAAGGAAGGAAGGATGGAAAGGAAGGGAGGGAGGAAGGAAAGAAAAGAAGGAAGGAAGGGAAGGAAAGAAGGATGGAAGGAAAGGAAGGAAGGAAGGAAAGTAAAAAAGGAAAGGAAGGATGGATGGAAGGGAAGGAAGGGAGGGAGGAAAGAAAGGAGTGAAGGAAGGGAAGGAAGGAAGGGAAGGAAAGAAGGAAGGAAAAATTAAGTGGGTGGAAGGGAGGGAGGTTGGTTGGGAGGAAGGGAACAAAGGAAATTAGATCACCTTTTTGGGTTACAGTAGATGCACTGCGGCTCGTAATCCATCACAGAAATATAGATGAATTCTTGAGCGTCTCCAATCGTGCTCAGAATGGCGCTGAGGTCCGACGTCCGGCCGGTGGAGCAGAGAGCCGGCGGGGAGCTCTGCAGTCCAAAAGAACTGAATTATAAAGCGTAAACAACAGAGCCAGGATCCATCCATCCATCCCTCCCTCCCTCCCTCCTTCCTTCCCTCCCTCCCTCCCTCCCTCTCTCCTTTCTTCCTTCCTTCCTTCCTTCTCCGTCATTGGAAGATTTTCAAAAAGAAATTTGTCCGAAATGCCTGAGCAGAGGGTTGGATCGAATGACCTCCAAGGTCCTTTCCAACTCTATTCTGGTAGAAGCAAGGAATTGTCAACTCGCTCTACTTCTTCCTTCCCCATCTGAGCTCCCCTCCTCTCCCCCTCCCAAAAAAAACCCCTGTCCTCCAGATGTGGAGTTTCCAGCTGCCATAATGGACACAACAGGCAGGGAGATCTAGCCACGAAGCCCCCACATCTACAGGATCTTACACCGTTTGTGTTTTCACACAAACCAACTTACAGAAATGTAGACCTGGGCTTCTACCCCGTTTAGTTGAATCTTCCGAGGTTCCTCCAGGCTGGATTTAGCCGCCAGATCCCTGGGCCAGGTGGTGGGCAAGGAGGCTCCCTCTTTGCCCAAGATCCGGTACATGGCAAAGATCCGGTGGAGATCCTGAGCCAGGCAGCTACAATTGTAGAGAGCGATTCCCAGCTCCTTCACCTAAGGAACGGGGGGGGGGGGGGAATGATTCGTGCTGTGAGTAACTTGCTGGAAGATCCCCAGATTTACTGTGATCTCCAAAAGAAGATCTGAAGAGTGGATTCCTCACCGGGGGAATGGCGGATCCACGCAATGGATCCTGTTGCCAGGGAAGAACCCAATTTCCCCACCTTACGGGTTCGTCCTTTCACTTACAACCATCAAGGAGCACGGCATTTTCGTGGCTAAGCGAGGCCGCTGTTAAGTGAGCTTTGCCCCGTTTTACAACCGTTCCCGGCCCCGTTGTTAAGGGAATCCCTCCCGGGGCTGTATCCCAAGGGTGTTTCCGCCAGAGCAGTGCGACCATTGCAGCATTCTTCAAGCCGCCACTAACTGAACCACTGTAAGTCCAGATTACCCACATGATTTTGGGAAAATCTGCCAAGTGAAGGAAAGCAGAAGTTGGATCGTCTCCGCGGCAACTCGATCGTGACTCGGTGTTCTGACCCAGCTCCCCAAACACGGCAAACCCCCCTGAAGTGAACTCGATGATTCCTTTATTCGGAGCGCCAGCAGCCCCGCCAAAAAAGTTTCTCTCGGTGGCTCTTCTATCCCAAGGACCAGCCCATAGATTTCCACTGCTCTCCTCTCCTCTGCCATATCTATTCATCTCCNTACGTACCGACATAAGCCACGCGGTCTGTCACCATGTATTTGTTGTGGTTGACGTGGGCGAAAGGGATTTCTCTCCCTTCTGTGGGGACCACAAAGAGTTTCTGAAAAGGAGAAGCGAAGAATTAGAGGTATCTCTCTTCCCCCCTCACTCTCTTCCTCTCTCCCTCTTTCTCCCCATCTCTCCATCTCTCCCTCTGTCTCTCTCTCTCTTCCCCCCTCTCTCCCTCTCTCCCTCTCTGTCTTCCTCTCTCCCTTTCTCTCCCTCCCTTTTTCCCTCTCTTCCTCCCTCTCTCCATCTCTCCCTCTGTCTTCCTCTCTCTCCCTCTCTCTTCCCCCTCTCTCCCTCTCTCACTCTCTGTCTTCCCCTCTCTCCCACTTTCTCTCTCTCCCTCTTTCCCTCTCTCTTCCTCCCTCTCTTTCCCCCTCTCTCCCCCTCTCTCCATCTCTCCTTCTCTGTCTCTCCCTCTTCCTCCTCTCTCCCTCTCTGTCTTCCTCTCTCCCCCTCTTTCTCTCCCTCCCTCTTTCCCTCTCTCCCTCTCTCTTCCGCTTTCTCTCTCTCCCTCCCTCTCTCCCTTTTTAAGGGATTTCTCTCCCTTCTGTGTGGACCACAAAGAGTTTCTGAAAAGGAGAAGTGAAGAATTAAATGCACCTCTCTTCCTCTCTCTCTCTCTCTCTCTCTCTCTCTGTGTCTTCCTCTCTCTCCCTCTTTCCCGCTTTCTCCCCCTCCCTCCCTCCCCCTCTCTCCATATCTCCCTCCCCCTCTCTCCCTCTTCCTCCCTCTTCCTCCCTCTCTCCTCTCTCCCTCTGTTCCTCTCTTCCTCATTCCCTCCCCCATCTCTCTTCATTTCTCCCTCCCTCCCTCTCTCCCTCCCTCCCTCCCTCTCTGTCTCTCTCCCTCATTCCACCGTTTTATAGTTTCTAACCCTACGGGTTGAATTCGTAGGGAAAGGGTGAGGGAAGACTCACCACTTCGATGGGGCAGTGGAGAGGTCTCCTTCTCAGGACCCGGAGCGACTCCAGGAAAACAAACATGGTTTGTCTCGAATGTCGCCAACAGCTGATGAGGAGACGCACCGTCACTCCTTTATCGCAGGCTGCGCTCCGCAAGGCCTCATCAATGGCGGGCCACAATCTTGAAGAGCAAAACGGGTGCAGAGAGTTAGAGAGGCCGCCTGGATGGAGAAATTGCCAGGAATTGCAGGAAGGGAGGGAAGGAAGGGAAGGGAAGGGAAGGGAAGGGAAGGGAAGGGAAGGGAAGGGAAGG